TTTTTCTTCAAAATCCTCCTCTAATATATTTCAAGATATTTGTTTGTTGTGTTCTGTTTCTGAATTATTTTTCCACTAAGAAACTTTCCTGACTTACTCTTTTTCTGAATCTCTTTGATTGATACTTATAGTCAGAAATTAGTCTGTCTTGATCACGACTAGGCAACTGCACCATTTCTTCACAATTTGTAAGCTTCTCATTGAATATAACATCACATGAACAGATAACTATTGGCTTCTTTGATCTGTAGGTGGTATCTTCCGTCTCCATCATAGCCATTTAAATAAGCCTTTATAGCTAGGCTTGTCAGATTTTGGAAATGTTCAACCAGGATACTGGAATGCCCCCCGCCGTCACGGGTATTCAAGGATATACTACCTTGGTAGATTTTTAGAGGGTCGTTTATTCTCAATGTTATGAATAAATGGTTACTTAATAGGAACCTAAACCATGAGTAATAATAAATGACACAAGCATATAAATTTAAACATTTTATTTCTTACATGCTAATGCTTATAAGTTACTTAAGTAAGAAGAAACACTTTAAATGAGGAATAAAAATTTGAACAACATTTACATGTACTTTTCATTGGCTAGGACTTTTTTTAGAAAGTCTTCTTTGGTTTTAATCTTCTTGTAAAAATCTTCGTGATTCTTTTTGAAGTGATCAAACAGCCTGAGAGATTTTTCTTCACTCAAAGTAATCACATCTGTGGTAGACTCTTCTTGCTTCCTCTGTTCCCAATTTGATTGCAAGTACTCCTTAGCAAGCACAACTTTGTCAAACAGCTGATCAGTGTTTATTTGCTTAGCGGGTACATCAAGAAGACTGCTTTAATCATTTCAGCAGATGTTTCGGCATTTTCCCAATTAACAGCATTTGTTTTGGTCAGATTGACCCAAGAAAACTCTTCAGCATTTCCAAAACTATTCTCCCAGAGGTCTAAGTATGCAATGCATTTTTCATAAAAGCCATCAAATTTTTCTTTCACACTGTTACGGAATTGCTCGTCTAGATTCCTGTAGATGTTCTTTGCGCCCATAGGGATAAAGTTTGAAGCCTTTCTTTCTGTCAGGTTTCTTTTGAGAGCTTTATGAGCTTCAGCAACTTTAAAAGTTGTAGCGTTATCTTTTGCCATTACCAGGATGGCCTTGTTAAAGAGTGCAAGCTGTCTATGGACAAACCACTAGTACAGCTCGCCCGTTAAATCGGTAAACAAGTTTTTTATTGTTGATGGGCACAGTTCTTTATCTAAAAAAAAAAAAATGCTTTCAGACCTTCAAAAATCTATAAAATTCTTTCCAGCGCGTGCATCATTGATAGAAACTGGGTGTTTCCGTATTGAATGGGTTTATGGTACTGTATCTCGGCATCTTCACAAAATTCTCTTAGCTTAAATATACGGACTATGTATATGTGCAAGTATTTATAAATCTTCACCAGTAAGGCCTCAATATCGATTGGGAGACTATATACTGCAGTTTTCACACAGTTGTGCACAATGTGTGCTCCACATCCGATTCCACTAATTTCCCATCCTAGGCTATTCTTGAGTCGATAGAAAACATTATTTTGCCCTGCTCTCTTCACACCACCGAAGTTAGTGTTGCAGTTATCTCCACAAAAGCCTACTACTGTTTAAATCATTTTGCAGCAGGACAGAGCATAGGTAATTTGTAACAATTTCAGATATTTCATTGCCACAGATTTGAAATCTAACAGCTTTATTTGCATACCTGAATTAGGATTAAAGTAGTGCACAACAATTGGCACAAGTTTTGTATCCTTTCTGTTTAATGTATCCATACTTACAGATACGTAGTTTGACTTGGTCAAGTCTTCTTTAAGCTCTTCTTGATCGGAAAGGAAAGGTGCTATGGCATTTAAAACTATCACCTCACACTTAGTTTTTCTGAGTGAGAATTTAGGTTAAAAAAACTTAGAAATCAACTTTGATGAACAAGAATTCAAATTGAAACTTAGGCTATGGTTTGCTGTGTGATAAGCAAAGGTCGCCTCTTTCGCTGTTACATTTTTATCATTAGAACTCACAGTCTTGAGCTAGCAGCACATGTTAAACTCATTTTGTGTTTACTCGACTGCAAATGATCTTTTATATCAGATCGACCAACATGAGCAACAGAAAACTCAGAATTACAATATGAACATCTAATTCTATCGTTCTGATCTTGATTGGCAGTACATACCTTCTTCAAAAAGGGAATTCATTCTGTAAATCCCTGGTGAATTTACATGACCATTTTGGCATTTTAACAAAGAATGCATAAATTTTAACTTAGAGTATAAAGAAAACAGCGCTAGCTCGCTAACGTAACAGACACCACTGACAGGGACTGACAAGTGACTCATGCAAGCGGCTAGCACCAAGATGGGCGAGTCCAATGTTATTGCACACAATGGGGTGTAGCATGCAGGGAAATCTCTTCTGACATTAATGCTGCACCCCTTAGTGCCCAATATTGGACTCGCCCTGAAAGCCTCTCGCATCGCGCATGGTCACGATTGGCGGGACAAGACAGTATGATGACAATATTATTTATTCGCAGATCATCACCCTTCTGTAGTTTTCACCTTTCATTCAGTACAGAGATAACTGACAAAGTAATTATCCTAAATAATACTTCGTACTTAATTATTTTAAAACTTTTTTGGTCATCTATAGAATCAAATTTAATTTTTACCAAGACAAGAATAAACCGCCCAGGACATCGGGATTTTGTCTGAAAACAGGGACTTCTGGCAAGCCTATTTATAGCTTTATTATCGATTTTCCTCCTTCTTTGCTTAGGAATAGGAGCATATGCATAGATGTTTAATTTGAGGTTTGTTTTTAGTCCATAACTCACAAGGAAGTCTTCTACTGATGATTTGCCAATTCTGTTTAGTACATATATTGCAGTGTTAACTAGTTCAGCCCACACTGCTGCAGGAAAATGAGCTTCAGAATTTGAATATTTAAATGTTCTTGCTATTTCAATTATTATATGCATATCTCAGTGATTGCAGCCATTATGCTTGGGAATATAAAGTTCTTCAAGAAGCAAAAAACTTCTAGTTAACACCATGATGTTCTTTTCCTTGTGAATTAGAAGAAAATTTTGTGGGAGAAGTACATTAACTACCACTTAAAAATATTAAATGCAGTAATAATGAAACTTTTGCTATAATGCTAATAGTATGCAGGTCTTAATTTTCATATTGTGTTTAATACAAAGCTAAATCTTAACCAGTAATAGATTACTTTCAACATTAGAATTATGTTGTTTCCATTATATTTGCTAAAATTCTTTTCATTGTCCAACATCCATTTTTCAACTAAACGGATTATCCAAGTAAGACTGATGAAAAATAATTCAGGTGCTTGTGTCCATCAACCAAGAAAGCTGGTTACCATTGTATAATGAAAGTTAGCAAAGACCCTGTCATAATTGCACCAATCATTCTTGCAGAGTTCTAAAGAAGCTTATGTCCCACTATTTGATAAACTGCAAATATTAAACCAGCCTCATTTTTGTGCTTTGTAAAAATAAATGCTTTCAAGAGTTTTCTATTTTCTTTGCCTCATTCTGATTTTACATGAATCTCGCTTTAGAATGCTATGAGTATAAACTTCTTGTAGGTAATTGTTCCAATGTATTATTGTTTTGTCACCCATCCTCATCTGACTATAATGTATCCATTAATACACTTTTTTTTTTTATGGTAGGACCCTATGACTTTGAAAATAATTCATTGCTTCTCATTCTGTGGGAAACAAAGTTCTCTACTCTCAATTTATAATAACTTTTTTTTCAATTTACCCTTGTTCATAAAACAAATTCATGTATTGCCAGCAGTCACATTAAGTGCTTCTTTTTCAGGGAGGGCATGAAAATCTTTTCCACATGCACCAAGTGCTGAGAACATAGGCTCTTGATGAACATATTTTGGTCTGTTTGGACCTTTCTATGGAGGATATCTATACCAATCCTGTCCTTGTGCTCGATTTTCTTAGAGTTAACGGTCTTTTGGACCTTATCGGACTTCGTCAGAATCCGGAGGAAAAGCAGCAACAATAACATGAAAACAAAACATGCCATATCGAGAACCAGGTAGGGTTACATCAAACAAAACTGCAGATGCATGAGCATGTTCTCATATCATGCTCATCCATTAATTGGTCCTAAATTGCTCTTTCACAGCAGTTTCCAAATAGATAGGATAATACACAAATACCATATTTCATTTACAATATTATACGATCAATACAGCATTGCTATGATTAAGTATACTGAAAAAAAGTTAAGAAAATCCAAAGCTGGTGTAAAAAAGAGATTGCACTGAGCAGTAAAACGTTTAGGCCTGCCCTAAGTATATCTCAGCACTTAAAATAATGTTTTTATAAATTTTCAAACCAGTCAAATTTGGAAATGGCACTGATTTTATGCATTTTCTGTTTAAAATGGAAGTGGAAAACAAAAGCTTCACTGTTTGTATAATTTTTACATCCTAAATGCTGGATAAGCTATAATTTATTAGACTAAAAGTATTAAGTGAAAACAAAAAAATACAACAGTACTATTTTTCACGGGTTATTTTTATGCAATGCTCAAAGAAAAAAATTTTAATTATGAACAATCTGAATATTTTTTGTTTGTGAGGTAATCTAAAAATTTACCGATCAGTCTTTTATGAGGGAATTTTCATTTGGGTGAATGTTTCTTAGATGCATGTAATAATGTTTAAGAAATTCTTTTTTAACTGAATTCTTTCCTCAGAATAAAGTAAATAATATATAAACCTTATTCTTAGCTTTTAAAATAGTTGAGAAAATACATAATTACTTGTTTAATATCATTATTATTAACTGTTAAAAATATACTCAAGAAGCCATATTAGCGTGCTCATTTGCATTTTACACATAAGTTCATATTTTATTATGTACTTTGTATCTGAAAATTTTCTTCTAACTTCTACTTTTTTCCCCTCTGTCTATAGAACATTTTCAATACAATGAAGCCAGGAGCCATAGTTTTATATATTGATAATGCTGGAGGTGGATTTCATCAACTAATGGGGCAAGTTGCTACTGAATGCAGGTTCATCACTGTATTTGGGCCACTGAAACATGAGCATTATGTGAATGAAAATATGAACATTAAAAGATTTGGGTATACATCTTGTTATGCAACGAAAATTAGTGTTCATATATGGCGAAAACCAATCCATAATCAGAATTTGAATCAGATTATCAAACACTATTCACATGATTTAGTGTTAAATCAAAACGAACAAAATGCAGATGGTAGAAGAAGTATAGCTACTAGTCACAGCTCACATATAAATAACCATCAGTCACAGTCATCTAGTATGCAAAGAAATAACTCAAAGGAAAATGTTTATTCTGAGACAACTGATAAGTGGCCAGCATCATCTGCTACTATGCAAAAGAATGCATCTAGCATTTCACCAGACAATAATAAAAGTTCTCAGAATATGAAATCTGCACAAAACATTTCACAAATCATTATAGAACAGCCAAAATTCATGACTTATAAACCTTCTTCTTCTGTAAATCGTAATGCATCTAATTTTTCAAAAGCTGGAAGTGCTTCAGGCATTGATAGAAGTTCCCAGCAGAGTAAATCTGTACAAAACCGTCCACAAATCATTGAAGAGCAGCCAACTTGGCACGAACCTTCTGTGGATAACTGTTGCTCGTGTTGTGTAATATCATAAAATTTTAAGTAAACTTTTTTAATATTGCACTGATGTTTAAAAACTTATTTCAGTTTTATCGTTTTCATTATTTCCTGGTTTTATTCCAAAAATAATTAATATTGTTGCTGTTAAAGAAAGTAATAATTTTATCAGCTCTTTAATTCTTAGTGCTTACAAAATAAATATACATTGTTGCATTTAATGTTTGTGAATATAGTCAGGTTTAGATTTTTTGAGGCAGTCTGCTGCTATATCTTCATTCAGTTTCTGACTCATTATTATTATTCATTATATATTGGTGGAGAATGATATTGAAGGGGGAAAACGTTTCCTTATTTTTTAATGAAGTTTGTATTCATTTCTAATTTTTTTTAACAATAATCAAGAAATTTCAGTAATTTTGTACAATTGATTGAAAATGGAAAAATGCATATTGCTATTGTATTTTTATACTGTAATGAGATTTATATTATCATCAATATAATATTCTTATTTGTATTTTATTTGATTATGAAGGACATCATTGTGCATTTTCTATGATTGAAATCATAGTGTAATAAAGGTTTATTATTTTTATATGATTGAAATCATAGTGCAATAAAGGTTTATTATTTTTTATATGATTGAAATCACAATACAATAAAGGTGTATTATTTTTTATAGGATGCATATTGTTGTTTTGTCTACCACGTTGTAAAATGTTTTTTTTTTTCATTCTAAACAAATGGCTTTTAAAATATTACAGAATGATTTCCTGCATTTGCAGTAGCTTTAGATGCAAACATTCTTCACCTACGCACGGATCTTGTATTATTACTTGGCAGTTGCTTAATCCCTCCTTCCCAAAGTTCTTTTCAAGTATAAGCTTTGATGATAAAAACATACATAAATAGTGATAAATAACATGTATAAAAAGGTTTTCCTGAAAAATATGGAAATTTCATAATGCTTTTGAAGAAAAGGCGAGAAATCACATTAATGCAAGAAAAATGTTTTGATTTATTTTTATTGGTTGATTGGGATATTTTTATAATCAATTTAAGATATTTAACTTTTATTTTAGATTTTGAATTTGTGGTATAGATTAAGATATCTGTAAAAGGAACTCGCTAATGCTTGGAGAAGGCAATCAACAATTTTAAGAAAAGATCAAGGCTTTAAAATAAAGGAATTTGAACTTTATGATGATTAACAGAGATATATATGAAGGCAGTTCTGTTTTGATCACCAAAACTAACTTAATAATGCAAAACATAATTCTAAAATACGATATAGAAATGCCGGGGGTGACTTAACCCTCCAACAAGCCAAGGACTTCACTAAGAATTTGCCATGTGAAAGAAGGATTTTCTTGATTTTAACGCCAGACTGCCTCGAGTACTTTATTCCTGGATTTATGTACTTTTAATATATTGCCTTAATTCCTTGGCTATATTTATAGATATATATAGTTACAAAAAATATTTTATCTAATAATGGCGTGGCCAGTCAAAGATAAAGTATAAACTTTTTTTTTAATTTTTAAAAATATTTGCCATTTACAATTACAAAATTCTAAATGATTTATTTTATTTATATTTATTTCATACTTACGTATTATCACAACCACCTTCATAGAAGTTGCCGAACTTTGACAGCCATGCGCATAACAGTTCTTTAAGTAACCATATCCAGTATAAATTGCAGCCTGAAAGTTCACCGAATCACCTATTTCTTCTGTAAAAAATCACCAAACTGCTCCAAGGTGCTTGTGCTACTACGTAAGTATCGTTTATTTATTTATTTTTGAGAGCCAAGAGTTCCAAATATTTAGCCAGTTTTTTAAAATCCATTCCACTTTTAGTTTCTTATTCACTTCTGAGTTAGCGAATTTCAGTAGTTGATCATCTGAACCAATTTGCGAGTCCCAAGGTGAATAAAAAACTGTAAATAAATGTAATTTAATGCAAATACATCGTTGCAAATTTTTTGAGAAAAAAATGTTAGTTCGACGACTTCAAACACACACTCATATTTCTTTGAAGTAATTGTTCTATAATCTAGTTTGGTCCGGATATGCATTGGGCAATATCTGGGTCACAAGAACAGCTCTTGACAGATTGTCAGTTGCTGTAGAAACTGCTATAAATGAATTTTGTGATTATATTTTTGCCGCCTGTGTGGCAACACAGTTTTTTTATTTTTCCTTTCTGACAACGGTTTCAGTTGTCGCTATAATTCCTTTGCCATGTTTTTTCTGTGTGCTTAATAAATATATGGTAATATAGATGATGTTTTCACTTCTGTCTCCATTCATAACATTAGTCTCATAACAGGTTACGGATCCAGGATGCTCTTAATTGCGGAGAAAAAATTTAGAAGCAAAGTGGAGATAAAAGTTGGCGCCAGTTCGTAAACTTAATATGGCAGACCGTAAGCCAAACACGGCATTTTTTAGTCATCGAGTAAGTCCGCAAAGTAGTTCACAAAAATAGAAACTGCAAAGATATCAGTTAAGCCATTATGCGGAAAAAGTGGCTGGCTTCTTTTAAAATATTGAATTTAGTTATCAAGAAGACGCTTTAAAAAGTCGTAGAAGGAAAATTGGAAAAGCCAGTGGAACCTGATCAAGCCGCTGTCGAAGAGATTCGAAGAAGATAGAGATTTTTAATAAAGCCAATAATTATGCTATGATGGTTCTTACGAATTCCATGACCCGAGGTACTTTACAAAAGGTAATGAGATTTGACATTGCAATAGAACCGATAACCACTTTACAACATATGTTTACAGTTCTTCAAATTCAGTTGGTCAAATAATATGGCAGTTCATTTATCAAAATTGAAAAATTAGTGGAAGGAACTGAACAACTTGAAAATAAGGAAGAAAACAGACAGACTCCCAGAGATGCTGTTAATTTGTAAAATATAAGGTACTCTTCCTCCCAGTTATTATACTTTCAAATTGAGTTGGTTACTTCTTAGTGATGAAAAGAGAACTCTAGACCAGGGGTTTCTCTTACGTACCACTCAACTAGTGGTACACAAGAGAAAAATAGGTGGTAAGCAAAATACTTTTAACTATTAAATTCAAAAATTAAAACCCCAACATCCTAATTGAGTTTTTCCTCTAACACTCGTAAATGCATGCGATCTGAGCTTTGTTCAAGAGTGGTGGTGTAGTAGTATTTTGTAGTGGTGGTACTAAAGGTTTGAATTTTTTTTGTTTAGATGCTACACGTTAATCAAAAGGTTCAGAAACGCTGCTTTAGATAAATTAACCATACAACTGTGCAAAGCGCAGCTCCAATGCTCCTGATAGAGCTTCGAAGTCTAGTCTCTGGCTTTCTGGAAGAGTTTGAAGAACATTCACAGCATTTGTTCTCAGAGAAGTGGCGAGATGACAGAAGGTCTTTCCATGATATGTGGATAGCTTCGGAGGGAACGAGCACTCATAGGTAAAAATTTAAAACCATCAGTGTTGCTCCCTGCCATCACTACGAATTTCTTCAAGGTGAAAACATCTTTGGCGACCACAAAAATGCACCGGTCCATAGGTTAATAACATGTATTTTTATCAAAAGAAATATATGAGAACTCTGGAATTTTCCTCAGATATATTTGTACAAGTGTTCACAATATCACATAGTATAATCCGTACTTCAAATATTAAAGGGCCTGGGTTCAAATCCCGGAGAAGGTATGGTTGTAACTGTCTGTCCCTTCATAGGAGGCAATGGTGGCCCACCTATACCTATAGGAGGCAATGGGCAATGGTGACATAATAAGGAGACCACCACATCTGGCCGTAGTGTAGATTAATGGACTCTGTTACAAAATTGTAATTGTTCACAATCTGTCATTCGAAAAAAAAAAAAAACTTCAAGTATTAAAAACGTTAAATACAACGCATTGCATAGCACATCTAAAGAGAAATCTAACTCGGCTATCTCAGTTCATGCAGAGCTTAACAACTGAAACAATAACTAAGCAACTTTCTCCCCAGCCTTTCATATTTTTCAACCAGTCGCGAGATATTTCTAGTACTTTTTGTTTTTCGAAATTCCTGGAAAGCAATACGAAGGTGGAATTACTATTACAGCTAACACAGTTGTCATTTACATTTATTCAATTTCAAAACAAATTACCAATATAACAATTTCCTCAATGTTAAGTGCATGTGGCCCTGTATTCTTACTTTTCTGGCATAGCTTTCTCTTAAAATTTGCTTCGCGCTACCTTATGCAAAACTGTACAACAATTTTAATTGTAATTCTACTAAAATTTATCTAAGATACGTTAACAAGAAGGTTTCAAAAATTAAAGCTTGAATAAGAAACTTTAATTTTCATTTTAATTCAAAGATTAACACAAATGCTAGAACTAAACACGGAATTTCTCAAGGGACTTCATTTTAGTTATGAAGGTGTCTGCTTTTTCAAGGATCAAAAACAGCAGAAAATATCACTTAAATTGCAAATACAACCCGTCTCTTTAGTATTTTTACTCATTTCCCTCATAAATCTGGTAGCAATTAATAAAATATGCTTCATTTTGATAATTTGCAAAAGGAAAAAGTAGGATTTTCGAGATAAAACTAGAATTTTGTTGTTAGAATATTTGTTATTGTAATTCCGTACAATTAAAAAAAAAATATCCGTACGAAAAACTATTACATTTCTTTCATTATTTAAAATGCTTCAGTAGTCTGATAGATTTTCTTTTCTTAATAATAAAAATAATAAGCAATTATTTTGTTAAAATATTAATAATATTAAGTATTTAATTGTGTATTTAATATTTTCTACATGTGAATACTAATTACGTTTCAAGTATATAGGTATGCAAACACTATATTGAAGACTCCGTTGTTGCGACTTTTGTGAGCTTATCTTTTTTATATTAACAATGTACTACTCTAAGGATTTGCTGTCCAGATTTTTAACAATGAGATTGAAATCATTAACGACACCAGGAGAAGTCAAAACAAAATTTATCAATAACTTTTTGTCCTTAGTATCATTTTTAATAGTTGTAAAGAGTTTGAGATGATCAACAACAATTTTAGCCCTTATATGATAGGGGTAGCAATGTAACTAGTATTAGTGCAATCTTTAACAATTATTATCATTATTTAATACTGGACGCATAGTTATTATTATCTATATTAGTTGAATTATTATCATAAAATGCAGCAAATGTATGGCTTGTAAAAATTCCACAAAGTTTTAGGTTTCAATCTGGTATTTTTAAGAATTATAGTTTATAAAAAAAAATCTTTTTTGGTGTTGCCAAATTTACCTGAATGAAAGTTTCCATATGTATTGTTTTGAACGGGACAGTACCTTTTTTTTGGACATTTCCCGGAAATCCCATGGTTTGATAAAAATGCTTATTGTATTCAGTTATAAGTAAAAGCTGCACATGCTTACTTATTAATGAGTCACAAACTATTGCTCATAACCTGAAACTGTATTTCAGAAGTTTAAACATGCTTAATTGGCTCCGAAGAATATCTTGGCTTTGTATTATTTGTAAGAAATAGTTGAAATTATGATAGTGTTTTGCAAGAGATCAATTGTCTGCCTATCAAGGATATAAAGAAAAAAACCAAAACGTGTAGAGACATTAGGTTAACTGGAAGCAGGCAAGATGAAAAATTAGCAGCCCCTTCGCCGGGAATCGAACCATGGACCTCTGGAATACAGGCCCAGCGTGCAGAACCACTACACTACGAAGACACGCTAGGAAGACGGGAGAAATGTATACTCCCACTTTTTAAAGCGCGACTGGGGTTTTTAGGGGACCCAATCGCCAAATCCTGGGTGAGGAGAATTATCGTCCAGCACCCTTTTAGTTCGGGCACCACTCTAGAGACATTAGGTAAATTGGAAGCAGGCAAGATGAAAAATTAACAACACCTTCACCGGGAATCGAACCACGGACCTCTAGAATACCGCCCCAGCGTGCAGAACCACTACACCACGAAGGCACGCTAGGAAGACGGGAGAAAAAGCTTATAAACATTATTTCTAAAATTAGGAGTATTGGAGTTTTACTGGGGGCATCAAGAAAGATGAACAAAACTAATTAAAAGAAGGAGTAATAATTAATATTAAATCAAATATAAGAGATAAATAAAAAATTAATAAATGAAGTTAATCAAAAATAATTAAAGATTAATAATTATTAATAATTAAGATTAATAATTAAACATATTCGATGCTATTTCATTTGATGTTGTCTGTTGGGGCTAGAATTATGTTTTTATTGAAAAACTGAGAAGTAATGGAGCTGAGTTCCGCTGGAATTTCGCTGAATTATATGCCCTGAGTATGCAGTATAATGAATTTTTTAAGGAGATGATAGAAATAGAAATCATTTTTCGTCCAATACAGAATACCGCTGAGGAGGCGTCCGACCTAAGGTTCAACCAAAGGATTTGTAAGGAAAATTCTTTGATTCAATCGAGCGGATTTTTGCTTGATCAGCGGGAAAATCTACTAACTGCAGCTACCCCAGCCAAGGGGAGAGCTTGTTTGTGATTTAATTTTGATATTGAGATTGGTCAGTTGCTGATTTTAAGAGTCAGATTAAGGAGCTTGAAGCTGCGAAGGTTCTAGAATAACGTTACGTAATTAACAAAATTTTTGGAAGTGAAACTAAGATGTTACTAATTACAGTGATATGAATACATAATTTAAATGTGCAGTGCAACTGCTTGATTAAAAAGTGCAAAATACTGAATACAGAGGGGAAAACAGAAAAATAAATAAAAGTGCATAATACGACTGTTGCAAGTGCCAAAATTATGGATGATACAGTAATTAATTACTCATAACACAGTGCAGGTATAAACTAATCAGCGACATGTTTGGTTCGAAATTCTAAATAATTACTTATAACAGTGATGCCAATGCTAAGAATTACACATTACGGAGTGCCTATGGTTCAAAACCATGTACCTCCACATCAGAAAAATATCTAAGTAGTGAGCAGAAATAGTAAAATTGCCTAATTGGTTATCATGATGCACACTAGAGGGAGCTTTAGGGATAGGAAAAATCAAGTTTTGATTTTTTTGGAAGTTTTATGATTTTAAACCTTTTTTGTATTTTTTAATTTTATATATTTTTGATATTATTTTTATTTTATTTTATTTTATAACACATAAATACGACACTAAAGCAAAAAGCGGAAAGGAAAGATTTTACAGATTAATAGGCTCATTGGCATTTGGCACTAATCATAGTGAAGTAAAGATTAAATTTTCGAGACGAAATATCCATGTCAGCGGGCATGATGTGATTAAATAGTGAACAGATTGATAAGAATGCAGAGGTGGCCATTTTTCAGTAGTACTGGAGTAGGAGAATGGTAGATTCTACAGACCGTTTCTTCCGATTGGTTAAAACAGGAAACGTAGGGTTACAGAATCTTGTACTTGGCGACATTTGCTTCATCGCCTTTACTATTTGTATATGAGTATAGTGTACCGAAAAGCGTGCGAAATTCAACGTAGAAACCGTAACTCAGTGGTACGGCACACGGAAAAAATTTATAGACTTCCTAGATTGTAGTTTGTATTCCCGCTCGAGACTTTTACAAACTCTAACCTGCGCGGACTTGTTTCTTTTTTATCCTCATTTCGTTGAATGACTTTGTCGTTTATTGGTCTTTTTGCCTTCGGATGCGGTGTTAAAAATTTAACACCTTTATTTTCTCTATTTTTGTTTATTGCTATTTTTTTTTATTTTTGTAGTAGGTACCAGTGGCAAAATTACGATCCAAGATCCCGAAAAGCGTTACAATAGAAATAACGCATAATGTAATAAAACATAATTTTAGTTATACTTACTCATAATTTAATAGGTATCCGACGTAAACGGTAAACACTTTTTCTTGCAAAATAATTATCGTACTTTTGACAGTTTAAATTCATTCTTTAACCAAATACAAATAAACTACTGATAAGATCAAGTAGGCTACTTAAAATATATTCCACACAAGCCCCTTAGCTTGCATTCATAAAATAAAAAAATTTTCGAAGGAAATAAACGCTGTTTCTCCTCGGTTTACTGAAAGCCCACAAAACATGTTTGACGTTAATTACTAAGCCTGCAAGGCGATAACTCACCTTTCCAAGTATGACCGCCAAGTAACTGTTTCATCCAATGAGAGCAGACCGTAACAGTAATGGTCTGTAGGCTTTGTGAATATGCCAGTGACAAGAATACGTATACATAGTGGGTTACAGAGAAAAAGAAATAAAAAAATCCCATGTGGGCTGGTGGATGAGGTGAGGAAACCCCCAGACCCCCTGCAGTGTAGGAATGGGAAAACATGGACACGGAAAACAAAAAGGAGTCACATTCTTTGTCCACGAACCCAGTGCCGATATAAGTATAACAGTCACGAAGAATGTGTGGCAGGGGGGACAAAACTGCCCCTGAATCCGAGCATTGATCTGTAAGCTCAGGTGTAATATTCTATGCGAACATAAGATTCTGTCTAAGGGACCACTTTTGTAGTCCATATTTGGTTCAAAAGTGTTCCACAGAAAATTACTAGTGTTAGACGTTTTTGAGTCATTTCACTATGTGAAGCTAATTTGGGTGCATTTAGGAACAGAAAAGGTCTTTCCTCTTCCCGGTTTTGTTATAAATTGTGGGTATCTGAAACAACTGACACCGAAGTTCTGTTGAAAACTTGAGAAATCTGCTTAAATTATAGGTGGAATTATAAGTGGTAGGTGCAAAAAGTGCAAATTATGAATCCTCTGTAATTTATTTATTTTCACCAAAAATTAATAACTTTTCTTCCCAATTATTTAATTTTGAAGCAGATTTCGCAAATTATAAATATATACGATATATTTAATAACTTTAAATGAAAGATTATTTTATAAGTAGTATTAGTATTCAGTATTATTTAACTACGGTTTGGCATCAATTGGAATACGCATGGTTTCGGATAGAGCGAAATTCAATTTTTTTGGTGTTTCAACAAAGGGGCGAATAATCTGTGTTGTTAATTATTTTATCAATAGTGCATTGCGTTATTTATAATGTTCGACAATGGTTTTATCGATTATCTATATACTCGTGTTCTTCATGAAGACATTATGAAATCCGGAGTAAATACGCAAGACATAATAATCGGTATTGAAAACATGAAAAAAGTTTATACCCGCAATTCTGCATGGTTAACATCAGAATCAGCTCCTCTAGCTGATTTTAATAAAGTTGCCTATCGTTGCGCCTATATACATAAATATGCTCCTTTGCATACAGCTATCGTATATGATGTAATTAAGAGGGCATTAAATAATAATTATATGCCTTTCAAAAATATGGTACTAAGATCAGCTTGCTTAAGAATATGCAGCTTAGGTGGCGGACCAGGTTGTGATGTATTGGGTGCGCTAGCTGCAATGCATGAAATTTTCGGTTTTTTGCGAGTTTCTGTTTCAATTATAGATATTATGATAAATTGGAATTTTACATTTCGGTCCATAATACATGAATTGGAGTTACCGACTTATGGAACATTAGGCCAGAGTTTTAATCCTCAGTATTTTGATTGGGACTATATCAGCTCGAATTTGACGGGTGAAATGAATGAACAAGTTTATGAATCAATTGCTGCAGCAGACTTAATCACTATGGTAAAATTTGTATCAGCAACTGCTTGTGAGACTACATCTGACATGATTAAGGTATCATGAATATTTATATAATATTTAAAATTATGTATTATGTGCTTATTTGTTATACATGAAATTAAAAAATTAGCATTAATTGCTTGAAAATCTGCAGATTTTTAAAAATTTCATAATTTTCAGTAACATTATGAGTTATTTGCTTGGAGAAGAAAATGTTCATAAATTTTCTTTCATTATCAATGCATGTATAGATTACATAGTTTTTAGTTTGCAATGTTATTTTGTGGGACAATGACTGTGAGATGTCTGATGGATTTTTTTTTACTTAAAATTGCTAATTTAATACAGCTGATATGTTTGCTTGCTGTGATATATATGTTGTATTTCCTTCATAAATGGAAATGCTACATTACTGATCTAAGAATGTGGTTCCTTATAAGCATTTTTATTTATTAAATACATTCCTTCAATGCACTTATTGGAAAGCTAGTTTGTCATGCTAGTTTAAAATTTATTCATTCTCTAATAACTTGAAATATTTGCACATCAGAGAAGTTCTGTGTATATGTAATTTACAACACATATCTGAGTCAATTAAAATTTATGACATGAATATGAAACAGTTTTCCACATAATGTTCTCCATGAAATCCTCTCTACCCTTAAGCTACTAGCTCTTCAGTATATTGCTATAATTTAACATAATATAAATTGAACTAAGACCACAGGCCATCTTTCCTTCTTCTGGGTAATACATATTTACTGTCAAATATGGGTTTTCATCCGCAGAGAACCCGTTGGCGCTTCGGGAAAGAACCCGTTTGTGCCGTCGCATTTTTACTCGCCAAGCGATGAACCGAGCCGTAAACGTAATATTTTGTAAACGTGATTTTTAGTGCAAGTTAGCAGGCAAAACAATATATTAACATTTTGAGGTCGGGGCTTTGGTAGCAGTAAAAGCTACCAAAGGACGAGGAATCTTGAACCGAATGCTTTCCCCCCTTTAAAAAATCACCTCCTATTTGCAACAAAGATTCTTATGTGTAGTTTAATGTATTCTCAGAGGAGTGCATCTATGTCGCAAAAGGAAGACTATTGAAAGAGATAAGTGGCTAAACCCCAGGGACGTCAAATTTGACATTTCACCCCACTTTTCAGTCTGGAAAATGGGGGAAAAAGACATGGCCACTAAAGTGGACAACCCCGTCTTTTCAAAGAGAGGACTCTATGGCCACTATAATGGCCATCCCGTCTTTAAAAGGTTAAGCACATGGTAGTAAAAATTCACAGATAATACGCATGTAGATGTAAAACTAACCGGTTAAACGTGATATATGAAAATAAATTTGTATTAAATTCAAGTTAGCACAGAAGCATTTATTATGGAAATAAAAATTCATTTAAAAAATATAAATTAGTTTAATATACTGAAATTAACTGGTTAAACGTGATATATGAAAAAAATTTGTCTTAAATTACAGTGAACTCAGAAAACAATATATTCCTTACACCAGCAGTGGTTTGCTAGTTTTGATGACTATGGTGATGCATCAAACTATTCTGTCATCTTATATAATCAGTAATATTTTTTGTTTCAATTTAATCATCTATTTATGTCACACCTGCCATCCTCTGAAAGGTTATTGTTAGAAAAGCATTAACAATATATTATCTTGTTAAAATTTTACGCCGTAAAAATTGATTTATTCTCATAATTTTACATGACAATAATAAAAATAAAAGCATTACTTAATTATTTAAAATGCACATGCACATTTTTGCGGCCTAAGAAAACAAATTATTTTAGAGGTTGGAAACCTCATGGTTCTGCTAATGGTTCTTAGAGCTGTTAATAATTAAGAACACAACATGAACAGCCGTGTTACAAATTAGCATTCACCCCTCCCGCCGTATTTTCTTCCTTTCATCCCGAACCGAGAACCGGCACCTATCTATGAAAATATTTCTATCTATTCGTTGTTAAAAAATTCAGAAAAATAATAAATAAGAGAAGAATAAAATAAATTTGCAAATGCAAACAACGACGGTGATATTTCAACAAAATTTAAACGCAAGAGGAATAGTTGCAAACTTCGAACAAGAGAATAGGATAAATACTCTGGGTTACCAGGTTTGAACTATTATCGCCAAAGTTGGCGATGTTTACATTTACTGGGTTCTCTCTCTCTAGTATATGAATGTATTTATAATTAGTTATAGCTGGATAAATTTATCGAAGTATAAAACTGACTTTGATTTCTGCTAAATTGATGTAACAATATTTACTCTTATTGGTATCGACTCTAATGCTGATATCTCATTGCACTAAAGTTAAAGAAATTAATTTTGTATATTAATCTTAAATGGTTCGGTTTATTTAATAATGGCAAAATACCTGAGGGCTACCTCTCTCCTGTAAAATCAGAAATGAACCACTATTTACATTCAATTAAAATAAAACTATGATTTTTTAATTATTTATGTAAACTAATAAAATTAACAACTTGATGCCTATTATTAAATTAAAAACTAAAATCTCTAAAATAAATTGGTAATAAGTTTAATTTTACTTGACCAAGATAACAGAATGAACAATTTAGGCAGTTGGTAATGTGTCCAGACATTTCATTATATTTAAAATCAGGGGGGAAAATGCAGCCTTAATTTAGTATAGACTTTTAAAAGGATTTATCAGTTTTGAGGGAAGTTTGGCATAGTCAGTCTGCTTCAGGAGCAAAAATAATTTTGTTATTTTTGTTTCCTTACCGCTGTCTAAAAAAAGGGGAATAAAGGTTTAAACATATGTTTAAAAAGTATCATTTAAACATTTTATTTTGTTTGTTGGTATATCATTTATTTTCAATTATCTGACTTATCTCTTGCTGGCTGACTGATATATCATATATTATGATGTGATTAGCTTTTACTCACTCAACTGGAAGATGAAAGTTTTGGAATATGTGTTTTGTGTGATTTTCAGTTGATATAGCATATCGGTTCTCATCGCTGTTAATGCTGTTCCTCTTTTCTCATCATCTGTCAGAATGTCATTCTTCCTTTTATTGTTTTTTCTTTTATATACATTCCATATAATGTATTAAATTAAATTTATATACTATTTGGAAAATGCTGTTTGATATGTTATTTGAAAATATTTCTATCTATTCGTTGTTAAAAAATTAATTAATTGAAAGTTTGATAATAAAACAATATGACATATGTTATAATGTGATTAGCTTCTCACTTGACTGAAAGGTGGTAAAAGTATATTTAAGGGTTCCCCTTGGCGATTTTTGTCGGCACACGGATACTGAGTTTGTGCAATTCTTTGACTTGTTATTTTGGCTTTGTGTAGCGGCGATTTTAGCGCCAAAAATCGGCGCTACACAAAGACAAAATAATAATTCAAAGAATTGCACAACTCGGTATCCATGTACACATTGACCTATTTTCACTTAAAAGAACATCACAGAATTGCACAAACTAGGCATTGCACACTCCCTTGACTTTGTCCCTGTACACATCAATATAGTTTCACTTAAAAAGTCAAAGGAGCACCCAATTCTAAAGTGGAGGCAAACAAAAAGTACGTAATCGCAATAAACTACATTTTAAACCAAACAATAAGATAAAATAAAAAAGAAAAAAACCTGTTATGCATCTAAGCACTATACAAAGCAAATATCCACTTACCTTATTTAGAAATTTCTTCATCTTCAGTCTGTGGCACACAAAATTCCTTAACAGCTATCGAAGGTTTGCTGTCGAAAGTTCAAAAACAAGGACTGTGACATTCAAGTTGCAGAGCACTCTGGCCAGCCTATTGAGGTTGATGAAACCCGCCTCCGAGAACTTGTGGATAGAGATCAGTATGCAACCACTCGAGAGCTTGCTGATGAGTTAGATGTTAGTGGCATGTCCATTAGTCGTGCTGTACATTGTATAAACTTGATGTCTGGGTACCGCATGATTTGTTTCAAGCATATAAGGACAGACGTGCTTGGCCCTGCACTAATCTGCTCGAATATCAACGCAAAGACAAATTTCTGGACCGTAGAGTTTTTTTTTTTTTTTCTGATGAAAAGTGGATTTACTTCAACTACAAAGGCCGGAAAGGGGTTAGGTCTGCGCCCGGTGAGCCCATTGGCAGCATCACAAAGCGTAATTTGACTAACAAAAAGATAATGGTGTATCTGGTGGAATTGCTGTGGTATTATTCAGGTAAAACTCACTATGCTAAGGAGTACAGCAAGATGCTAGTCCATTTTCATGCTGCTATCAAGGAAAAACGTCGAACTGAGTTCTGAAGCAAAGAGGTAATGTTCCATCAAAATAATGAAACACCGCGTGTGTCCGCATTCACCGGCTGGTCTCTACAGACTAGAGTGAGATCTTTTTCTACACTCACTATATAGCCCGTACATCGCTCCTTCAGACTTCTACCTTTTTTTACACCTGCAGCTACATCTTGCTGGTTAAATTTTCCATTCTGCACAGGACATCCAAAATGAGATTGATCTGTTTTTGGACTTGTGGTTACCAAGTTTTGGGGCCGAAGGCTTTGAAAATCATGGATTTGGGTGGTTATTACTACCTGCACTAAGGGTACTGCTTTCGTGTTTTTCCCCCTAGCTTTATTAAGAGTGTTTTTTTTTTTTTTTTTTTTGCAGAAATCTTTCATTATAATCAGATATACATATTATATTCAGATCTTTAAATCTTCACTGATTTTGAAAAGCTAAGTAACAAATTGAAAAATCATGCTAATTCAGCTAAATGTAATTTAATATTCTTGAAATTTGGATAAATTACAAATAAAAGCAAGGTCCATTGATGCAAAAGAGTGTACAGCGATCACTTTATGGATATGAGATACAGCTTAAAAATACCTGTTTAGGAGGGAATCAGTATTCAGTGAATGACAGTATTAAAAAATTTCAAGATAGCTAAAGTGTAAGGTAGAAATATATTTATGGGTGCCCCCTGGCGATAATTAATGTTACATGGACACCAAGTTTGTGCAATTCTCTGACCTGTTATTTTGGCATTGTCGCTGTGACAATAATCCAAAGTAACAAATCAAAGAATTGCACAAACTCTGTATCCATGTACACATCGACTTATTTCCACTTAAAAAAAAAAAAAAAAATCAGAGACTTGCACAAGCTAGGCATTGCGCACTCACTTGACTTTGTCCACGTACACATTGATCTGTATTCACTTAAAAAGTCAAAGGAGCTGCTAACAAAAAATATATAATCTCAATAAACTACATTTAAATCAAACAATGAAATAACATAAAAAAGGAAATTCATCTTAGCACTACACAAAAAAATATCCACTTACCTTATTTACAAATTATTTCCAAGTCTTCAGTCAAACCAAAATTCCATAAATAGCATCCAAAAACTTAATAAATTATCTGAACTAGGAATCTGTATACTGGTGTCGCCACATAAGTTCACCGCATAAATTCACGAAAGTATCCTCTGTAGTGCCGGTATCGTCCGACGTTCAACCATACACATTTGCTTCCTACAAATAGGACACTTAATAATGGCTACTAAGTAAAACTTCATTTATACACCAGTCAAATTATGCTTTTTTTCCTTTCGTTCCAAATAGTGCAGAAACTTCAAATTAATCTTACCACATTCAGCCATTTTACCGTGTAAACCACAAAATAACAACGTACTTCTTATCCAAAATCTGACGCACACTTTCCAAATGTTTTCCCATCATTCAAATTGACCACAATCACGCAACCAATTACATGTCATAATAGGATCTCCATAACATTCAATGGTAAGAGTAGACTTAAAGGTACCCTTGTATTATGGTGAAGTTGTCGTTTCATTTATCGCCAAGTTGTTGTTTCATTTATGGTAGCCTGAATAGTTTAATGTTATGGAAACCCTATTGTCATGTAATCGGGGGCATGATTCTGGGAAATTTTTAATCATGGGATGTTTTGTAAGCACTTTTGTGGTGTGTGTTGATTTTATTGTTTAGACGGTAGAATGGCTGAATGTAGTAAGATTAATTTGAAGTTTCTGTACAATTTGGAATGAAAGGGAAAAAGAGTGTTAATTGACTGGTGTGTAAATGAAGGTTTACTTGGTAGCCATGATAAGTGTCCTGTATGTAGGAAGAATATGCGTCTAGTCGAACGTAAAACTTTTTAGATGGATTTGAATAAGTATGTAGGAAGAAAGGTTCAGATGTGGGGAGGCCGATATACGGATTCGAGTTCAGATAATTTTAGGAAGTTTTTAGATGCTGTTAAGGAACTTTGTGTGCCACAGACTAAAGACGAAGGAACTTCTAAATAGGGTAAGTGGATATTTGCTTTTTGTAGTGCTTAAATGTATAACATGTTTTCCCTTTTTTATGCTATTTTATTGTTTGGTTTAAAATGTAGTTTACTGAGATTATGTATTCTTTGTTTGCCTCTGTTGTAGAATTGGGTGCTCCTTTGACTTTTTAAGTGAAATATATGTATACATGGACAAAGTGAAGGGAGTGCACAATGCAAGTTTGAGCAATTCTTTGTCTTGTTATTTTGGCTTTGTGTATAACGGCAATTTTTGTGCAAGCCAAAATAATAAGTCAATGAATTGCACAGACTTGGTGTCCACGTACCGCCAAAAATCGCCAAGGGGTACCCTGAAATATACTTTTACCCATCCAACTACTCAGGTTACCATAAATCAAACAACAACTTAGCGATAATCCAAGGGATACCCTTAAATCTACTCTAATCAAGTGAGTTTGAGGTGACTTTTACTATCAGAATTGTATTATAGACAGTCTGATGTTGCAAGCTTATAAATGTCGACTATTTTGTGGTGAGCTAGTAGTAGAATCAATTTCTAAATACTGGTTCAGCCAGCTACAATAGTATGCAGAAGCTAGCATGAAAGAGATTTGTATGCTAGGCAACTGGCATTGTGTGTTTCACTTACCTCACACCACTAGTTTGAATTGGGCACATAATGATGTAAACTAGACTGAAAATTGGTGAAGGTATGTTCTGTTCACTGATGAGTCTTGCTTTGCATTACAGAGTGATTCTCAATGTGTTTGTATATGGAGACAAGTAGACATTCAATATCTTCGATTAAATATGCTTGAAAGAGATACCTATGCAGGAGACCGTGTTCTTGCATGGGGAGGAGTATCTTTAGGTGGGTGCACAGGCTTGTATATGCTACCACATGGAACTGAGAATGCTCAGAAGTATAGAGCATACTGGATGTTGCAATGTTGTTCAAATGCTGTTGTAATTGACTTTCATATGCTACATTTTGCAAATAGGTAATGGTGTTCTTATATTGCCTGCTGCATGCACTAATTTCTTGGTGAAGAAACTAGAACCTAAATGGAATGGCAATCATGCTCTTTTGACCTCAATCCCACTGAATATGTGTAGGATGCCCTCAAGCGGTGTGTAACTGGCTCCTAAATCCTAGATGGACTTAGAACTGCTGTATGTGATTCATGACATTGCTACCCATGCAACTTACTCACATCGTAAATGATATGAAGTATTCCTATTTGGGGTGATCGTATTTACTGTTGAAAATTTTTGTATTTTATTTGTGTGTTTTAATTTAGGAGATATTATGTTTATATTGATATTGCAAAATGTAGATAACATTTTCTTGTGTTTTTAAGTTACAAGTAGTATTAATAAACATTACGTTTTGTCAAATTTACTTGCATACTTTTTGAGTTATCAATAGTTTTTCTGTTGTTACTTATCTTTTAAAATCCAGTGTATATAAGTGCTGTATTTGCAACAAATACATAATTAAAATGTATTAGTGGGCCACATAAAATTGCTTTGGGGGCTGTACCCACTCCATGGACAGTACAAATAATGCATAGTTAAATGGCAAGGTGATAGTGAAATATACTGTTGTACAGAATCTCAAAATCTCTTTGTCTGGGCAATATTATTTCTATGTTCCTTAATTTTAATAACTGTATTCAACTGTAGACTCAATTATACTATTTTTACCAGTAATTTGTAGTAATGTTAAATATATACAATCCAAAATTATTAAATTAAATTCTGTATTAGAGTAATAATGGATTTATTAATAATGTTATGTATGTAATCAGTGTAAGTCAGACAAAGTTATCTTTTCATGGATCTTTATATGTATATATATATTCATAGTAAAGTGAAAAGGTCAGAATGTAAATTAAATATAAATTTAGTTCCAAAAATATAAAGGCTACCCTATTTTTATCTCCGGGAAATTGTTACATAAACAGAGTAAATGTTAATAAAGGACACAAAGTAAAAAAAAAACGGAAATTATTAAAGAATATATATATATATTATATATATAATATATATAAATGGGTGTGTGTAAATTCTAATTAAGAAATGCTGTATTTTTTGATAAAACAATATAAATTTTTGATTAAAAAGTTCAATTCTTTAATGAATCCAATTCTTTTATTTCATTTTTGTTTGCACATGCTGAAATTTCACAGTGTATACTTGTAGCGATATAAAAGTATCAGAGACAAACTTTATTTTCAATGATAATTACAAAGAGTTATTTGAGGAAGTTGAAGGAATAACAGATTCAAGCTAATGCATTTAACATGCAAAGTTTAGAATTAGATAGTTTAAAAAACAATGGAAGGAAGTAAGTTTTTAAAAATCAAATTAAGATGAACAAATGAGCATGGCATATGTGCAGCTTAATTCACCCCCTCCCAAATCATGTGCACAGGTTTATTGTCAGCACAATAATCAAAAACTTGTGATAAGTGTTATTCATAAAATTCTTTCAAAGTAGAATATTTTGTTGCTGTATTTTATATATATTGTAACTGAGTATTTTCTATACTGAAGTTATCTTTGATAAACATCTTTTCTGTCTTCCAGGAGATTTTCAGATCAATGAAGCCTGGTGCAATAGTTTTATATGTCGATAATGATGTGGGGAAATTTCATGAATTAATAAACCAGGCAGCTCTTTCCTGCAGTTTTGTTGCCGTGTTTGGCCCCTTCAAGCGTAAGCATTATTGTATTGAAGATTTTAAGAAAAAAAGGTTTGGATATACTTCTTGCTTTGATATTAAAGTAACTATTCACATGTGGCAAAAGCCAATGAGACATCCTCTGCCTCCAACCTCAAGATCAACATTAATTTCTAATATGCAATGTGGTAAATCTCATAACTTCTCATCCTTTACTGATGTGTTTTCTTCAGAGTCCAGTTCTCTGTCTAATGAATATCCATTCATCAGCTTGCCAATGAATTATGAAGCATGCTTATTTTCTGAGGAACAAAACAATAATTATAAGAACCCCTCATTCTTTGCTAATAACACACCTTCAATAAGGAGTTATGAAACTAATGGTTACCTGTCACAGCATCTGTCAAAAAAGAAAAATGAACAAAATGGATCTTGCAATAAGAAAAAGAGAACTAAAACTTCATTTGCATCTAAAACACTTAAGTCATTTTCTAGTAGAAGTAACTCCAGGACAGTGCAATCTAATTTAAAACATTCATTATGTAGAAAAATGTTTAAAAATTCTTCAACACGAAGTTTGTCAAGAAATTCATCTTCTCAGCAGAATGAATTATCATCTAAGAAGAAAAATACCTCAAAATTACGGCGATGGTTAGCTAATTTTTCAAATAGGATAACTAACTTTCGCTCGTTTTCTTATAAATGCCATCCACAAGTACATCATACAACATCCTCTCCCCATTTATTGAGATACAGAAGCTTTAATGATAGTTTAGATAGAAGAGTAATCGTAACTCAAAGTTTAAATGAGACAGTCAGAAGAGTCAATAGTACTGAAAGATTTGAAGAGAGGCCATACAGAAATGTCATTAATGACATATCAGATAGAAGAGTCGTATTGTATAACTGAAAATTCATATTTTTCGCCCCATTTGAAATTTACTGTTAGTTAATTATTGCTTTATATTGTTAATTACTAATTGCTCTATTTTTAAAAGGCAGATCTTTTTTTTTATCTTTGAACTTCATATTAGACTGGAAAAATAAAGCTAATTTTGTGCATTTGAAAGAAAATAGCATTTTTAATTAGCTGGTATACTTCTGTACATAATCTAAAAGAAAAAAATATTAAATGCTAAGATTTTGAACAGCAAGTGCAACCGTTTTGCAAAAATGTGGTCGCATTTTGAAATTTTAAAAGTTGCAAAATATCTATGCATCACTAAACACTGTTATGTTTACTTACTATTTAACTACTATATATTTATGTCAGTTTGCACTGTTTTTTTTCTATTATTTTTTAATTTTTTTTTTATTTATTTTAAGTCTTGTATTGCAAAATGAGCAGAATCATTTGCAATGTTTGGCACATTGATTTATTAAATCCCTTGCTGAATGTTTTACAAAATTTGACATCTGTTCTTTCATCTTTCATACAAAGTTATAAAATTGTTAAAATTTTAGTAAAGTTAGTGATTACTTATAGATATTTGCATAATAGCAAACAGTTGTCACAATTATATTTGCATCTAGTAAATAAAATACCATTATTTGGTACTCTAAGATCTGTTCTATTAGTTCAGTAAGTTTTGCTGCTGCAACTTTTTTTTTTTAATCATCTGTTTACTGCATATCATGTATATTATATATAATGAAAAATTAATAAAAAATAAAGTAAAAGCAGTTCAAAACCTAATCCATTTGCACGCTGATCGGAGCAATAAGTGGTGGCAATAATGCAAAATAATAAATACGTAAGATAGAAAATATTAAAGCAAACTGCTAATTTTACTTGTCTGTAACCTCTTTTTTTTATTTATTTAATTTGGTGATTTCCTCTTTCTAGCTTAAAAATAGCACTATAAGTCTAAACTGCGTCATTCAGATTCATCAGTTCCTATGTAACGCATAATGCAGATTCTTGACCAATCACCAAACTCTCACAAACATTTTAACTCAAACTGAAACTTTTTGACTCCCTCTGAATTGGTGATGTTTTTATTTTATTCGGGCTTATAATTCCTTACTAAATGTAGTATTTCATCTCGATGTGTCGGTATTCTCGATACAGCAATTATAGGACTTGAAAAGTGGAACTTTGTAACTGAACAAGAAATTATGTTTGTTTATAAAATTAAAGAGAAAGCATTATCACATAAAACGAAGCAACTTAAACTACTTACATTGAAAGAACTGTTTAATAAAGTAAACAAATAAATATTAAACTTTTTTTCTTTCTTTCTTTTTTTTTTTTTTTTTTTTGGTAAATTTTGATACCCTTTGGATCATAATTGTTCTTTATTTTATAAATTTTGATACCCTTTGGATCATAATTGTTCTTTATTTCATAAATTACAATTTCATAAATTCTTCATGCCATCTTACCATATTTAAATTGATGATCTGTAATCTGGTAAAATCTCTAATCCAGAATCGCCGAAGTCCCGATGAGTCCAGATTAACGACTTTTGACTGTATATATACATGCATAACACACATGTACATACATACATATACTGAAGTGCAATTACATTATCACCACCCAATTTATATGAAGTAGGACCACCCTTTGCCCTCAAATTTGCCAACACCTGACAAAGCATTGACTCAAGAAGGTGCTGATAAGTAGTTTGAAGTATCTGGTACCAGGCACTCACCAAATGGTCCTGCAATTCCTGCACATTATGAGGTGGTAGCATGGCAGCACAATTTAGTTTTCCAATTCTAACCACAAATGTTCGATTGGATTTATGTCAAGTGAATTCAGAGGCCAAGAAATGACTTGGAATTCACCAGAATGTTCCTCAAACCACCCCCTGACGATTTGGCCTTTATGATGAGGTGCATTATCTTGCTGGTAAATGCCATCACCCACTGGAAAGACTGTGCCATAAAGAGGTGCACCTGGTCTGCAATGATGTTCACATAGTGCACAGATGTTAAAGATTGTGCTAGTGAAGATGGGTCTTAATGTTTCCCATGAAAACATGGTCCATGCCATAATGCCACAGCCACTGCTTTTTATCTGGCCAACTGGGCACCCAGGTGCTAGAATTTCCATTGGAAATCAGCTTATATGCACTCGTCCGTCTATGTGATTGACCAGAAAATGTGATTCATTGGACCAAGCAACTTTCTTCCATTCTTCTACTGTCAATGTTCATCTTCCTTGGTCTATTGCAGGCGCTGCTGGCGATGACGTGCTATCAGTACAGGGATGCGATCTGGGCACCTGGGGCTATGTAGGCCTATACACAGCAGTGTCCAATGCACTGTGTGTTCAGACATGCCATCTGGGTCACCACTGTTGTTGCTGGTGATTTCAGCCATTGTAGCCCTTCAGTCATGGCGAACAATGGTAGCAATCTCTGCTCTTCTTTGGATCAATGCGCTATGGCCGACAAACTGCTGGCTGGCAACTTGTTTCACCATCCATACACCACTTTTAGTAAGTACTCACAATGGCTGCATGTGAGCAGCCCACCAAACGCACTGTTTCTTAAATCAATGTTCTCAGGCACCAAGCCATAACAATTTGACTTTAATCAAAATCTAATTAATTAGCTTCTTTTCCCATTATGTTGCTAAACATTCTACATGTGGAAAATCTGTGCATGGGCACTTTACTTCAGCATCAGCCACATGTGTGGCAAGCTCATTGTTCTAGGTGAGGGATGGTCACAATGTAATGACTCTTCAGTGTGCATATACATATATATATAATAATTTAGATGTTACTTATGAAGAATAATTTTCATATATATATATATATAATAATTTAGAGAGAAAATTCTGATACTTGCAGTTATGATCCATTAAAAGTTTTTTTGTTTTGTTTTTAAGGAGCACATTTTTAATATAAATTATATATCATAATAGGCAGAATCTGTACCTTCATTCTTCACTCCATTTGTTTATTTGTACAGTGTCATAATTTTTTTTCCTTATCTTCTAATTGCTGTTAATAAGAAGTTTCAGTTTCAAATGAAATCTTATTCAGTGACCTAATTAAGTAAGTGTCAGCATTATTAACATTATGTAAGCATCAAATGACATGGATTAATTTAGAAATGTTTTAGTTTAGATATAAGTAGTCATTTTTTAGGAAAGAAGGGGAATTAGCCAAATTAAAATAGAAAGTAAGCGACTCCTTGTGAATTAAAGTTAGTTTGAATTACATATTTTAATTTTACATATACAGTCAAAAGTCGTTAATTCGGACACCCATAATCCGGAATGATCTATAATCCGGACCTCAAAGCTAAAAACTTTCTGCGCATGCGCCGCGTTGGCACATGCGCACAGGCGTTTTACGCGTGCGCCTAAGACCTTGACTACTGCGCATATGCGTGTGCGCAAGTGCAGAACACGTTTTCGCCTGCACGTTTAATGTATAACGGATGGTGTAAGCTAAAATTATCTAATTATCTATTTCAGTTAATGTTAATGATTGCATTGTTCCTTAATCTTCAAATTGGATCCCGCTTATTATTTTTTGCAGACTGTAAGAGCAATTTTATAAAAGTAAACTTGAACTTTCGATTATGTCAAATAGAATTTCCGATGCTGGAACTTCCAAAGGATCTACAAAACGAAAGTATGTTTCGATGTCCAACAAACAAAAAGTGGAATTGCTGCAAAAAATGGATAAAGACATGAAAAATGTGACAGAGAGGTTAGTGAAAACGAAAAAATTTCGATTGACAAGTTAGTCGGTATTCTCGGCACAGCAATTAACGGGACTTGAACAGCGGAACTTTGTAACTGAACAAGAAATTATGTCTGTTTATAGAATTAAAGAGAAAGTATTATCACATAAAACGAAGCAACTTAAACAACTTACATTGAAAGAAATGTTTAATAAAGTAAACAAATAAATATTAAGCTTTTTTTTTTTTTTTTTTTGTAAATTTTGATACCCTTTAGATCATAATTGTTCTTTATTTCATAAATTACGGTTTCATATTTTTAATTTTAGAATTTCTGCATGCCATCTTACGCGATTTAAACTGATGATCTATAATCCGGAAAAATCGATAATCCGGAATCGCCGAAGTCCCGACGAGTCCGGATTAATGACTTTGGACTGTATAGATATTAATGACACAAAATTTTCATATCAAACATAAATAATTTGATTGCATGAAATGAAGACAGCATTAGCCTTTTGAAGGCCAAAATGCTGGAGACAGCCTTTCATTCAAATGACCACAACTGTTCGAAACACAGGAGATTATGATGTTGTTTTCATCCCTCCCCCCCTAATGTGTACAGGAGCAGGTGCAATTTTCCAAAATGCATTGTTTATTGCAGACAGCTTACCCTAAAAGGTTACTGGAAGTTTCTTTGTTAGGAAGTAGAAAGGATGTAATTTGAAATCTTCACACCTCTTTGTGCATTAATGAATGGGGAGGGGAGGAAACGTGCGGGTATTAGATGGGAATGAGCATTTTGGTGTTTAAGCATGCAGCTTAGCGAAGGCTTTGGTTTTCTAAAGATTAAGCATCTTCCTGTAGTAATGTAATTTGACTAGCATTCCTTTTTTCAAATGTTAAATTTCTTCTTTTCTGTTTAGCTTTACTAGTTAGCATGTATTGACAAAATGATTGCGTGTTTATCTACTTGCATATCTGTTGTAAAAGTATGAGTAAACATTGACTAATAAATGTGTTAATAATCAAAATTAATAAATACAGGATAAATGAATGAGACTTGTAAATGAATCAACTTATAATACAAATTAAGATTCTACAAATATTTATCCATTTACTATATTTTATTTCTTTGCAAAGATCCATAATCCGGAGTTTCAGGAAACAGGAATTTTTGAAAGCTGCAGAATATTACAAATAATATTGTTTCTTTTTTTCTTTTTTTAATTTTGCCTATCTTTTTTAGTAGTTAATTAATTATTTACCTTTATGCAATTTTAAATGAATACATTCATATATGCTTTTATCTCAAGTATTGAGAATTTAAAGTTAGATTGCCAGTTAAAAGAATTTCCGTATTAATATCTTATATAAATACAGTTGTTGAAATCTGTCACATAATTTCATACTTGTATTGATGTATTTTTATACTTGTATATTTTTCCTCTGTTCTGAATGTTACATACATGTTACCAAACTATCTATACTAGATAACTAAAAGTTTTGTAAATAAATTACATTTTTTTTTTTTTTTTTTTTTTTTAAATTTTTTTTTTTTTTTTTTTTTGAAATTTTTTCAGTTTTTGATAAAAGTGATGATCAGTTAGTTGGGCTTACAGAGATTTTAAAGCATTCAATTTAATTTTATGCTGATCTTTTTTTAAATTACTAATCCATCTATATGTGTTACTTGAATTTTTTGAAGATAGTGAAATATGTGGTTTTGAAAGCAGTAACATGATGA